CAGTTGGCACTAAAGATATTGTACCGGTACTGTTCGATGTACGTATGTGAATTTTAACAAATGTTTGTGACACATTGCAGAGAAGCATACAACCTGTACACACATTCACACTTGTCATGTCAGAAGGTGGTCAGGCATTCCCCATATTAAGGTAGAATTTCTTGTGTAAGACAAATGAGGACTGACTTGTCGGGATTATCTGTCTTCTCAACATTTCCGGTCCCTAGAAAACTGGTTAAGTAACATTTGTTTGTGTCCACAACTGTGGAACAAGAATACATGCATTGGTACACGCTTGCGCTGGTAGTTATACAATTCTTACATTTGTGGAAGAAATCAGTCAAGTGCTGTTTCTCAATTTTTATGTGTAAATGTACATGTATGTACCATACATTTATTACTGTTGATTAAACCTTGCATGAAAAATCAGTCGACAAAAATATATAATTTTGGTGTTTGATCTATGGATTGAGTAATCGAAAACCAAACTTATTGATCAAAAAATAATCATAAATGTGCTGGCCTTTGAGTATGTACATCGTGTACATGTACACCGTTTATCAATGACACCAACTCTGGACTTTTGTAACTCTGCTACATGTTGAAAAAAACACACCATATTCACTGTAATGGAATACTTCCTGGTGGAGTTTAATGTCTTGATTTGTTTTCTGAAATTAATCCCAACAAATGGTATCCTTTTAACAAGCTGCTGTCATTGTCTTCTTCTGTTGGATTTGGAAACCACACCGTTGAGCAGTTGCTGGTTCCAGTAGCGGCAGCATGCCATGTTTATTTCCTGAGCATTAGTACAAAGCAATAAGAAAGTTCTGGGTGCATCTCCCGTAACTACCTGCATAAACTTTTGCACTGTAGCCATTCTATCATGTCAAGCTGCATGTACGATACTACATCCAGATTTATGGATTTATCCCCACTTAAGTGTACATTTATAGTGAACACTGCTGTTTGGGTTGGCCCAGAAGTTACAAGTCCAAACTTGTCTGTGGACATTTAAAGATCCTGTATGTGTGTGCCAGTTCATTTGGAAAAGCAGAGGGCTTCTGACGAGTAAAAAATGAATGGGCATTCTTTGTGTCTGCCTTTGAACTACATGTATGCCCCTGTACATGTAAATCTTCATGTTCAATTGTACTTTGTTGTTTTGCATGTACCGCACATGTAGGTGCAGCCACCATGGAAGCAGACACTTCCCACTGTCCCTGCTGTCGGGAGGCATACGACAAGAGCCGCAAGCGGAAACTGACGGACGCCTGCGGACACGCTCGATGCTATGCCTGTATGTTCTCCATTGAATCCTGTCCGCTGTGTGCCACAAAAGGTTGGTATTTGTACCGGTTCTGTTTGTACAAAATCTGGCATGATTACTCATTAGTCGCAATGCTGATCGACATCTGATAATGACTAACCCAAGCTCTCTGTGCAGAGTTCATTGGAAAATCCAGCCCATTGTGCACTCAGTCTGTAGAACAGTTTTTGTTCAATTGCTACATGTACCGGACATGCAGGAGTATCCAAGCTCCAAGTGGACTGGCTTCTCTTTGGTTCTGAAGTCAACAAATACTTTATCGTCCAGAAGTTTAGCCAATTGACAGTATTGCAACTGACATTTACGGTTACATGTACCGTACATTCGTCTAGTAAAGGTTTTGACAATTTACACTGTCAGTGAAACTTGTAAAGAAAAGGGAAGAAAACACTATCCCTAAGTACCAGTACATACATGTGAGAAAATAGTGTTGTTGTGTACATGTACGGTACCTTCTAATGTTGTGATGCATGTTAAATAACAAACTACCAGTAATTAATGTCCCAGCATCCACTCCTAGCGCAACAAAAGAGGGCGTGTTTGTTTTTTGGCACTCACTACATAAGCACGCGTTTATAATGGAGATCAGTGGGCTGCAGGCCTTGTAACAAAAGACCGTACTCGTAACAAAAGACCAGGCTGCTGTGAATTGCCAACATTTTTTCAGTTTTGAATAGCGGAAGTTATCCGTCATTGTTTTGAAGCAGTAAACCACTATTTGTAGCATTCAGTGCAAGTGGATTACGACCGGGGACAAAAGCGCTCCAGCGATGAGGGATACAGTACCGCTGCACTCTAATCTAGCCACATTTGAAAAGACGCCAGCACTGCACTGGGCCAGTTTGGGGAACAAAAGAAAATTAAGTAACACCGCATAATATGGGTTCTCTTTACAAGGCAGCAGGCCTAGCTGAAATACTCAGCCATCAATAGATGTTGCCTGTCAGATTAGAGTAGCCACCAGGGTTGTAAACGTCCTGTAAATGAAGTTTCGAATTTTTGAGAATTTTGAAAACAGAAAATCTTGAAAATCCCCGGGGAACTCGTCATGCAACTTCAATTTAGACCTGGCAACATATGGTTAACGAACCCTTGAGTAGGTATGGGTTTAAAATACCCTAGCTACTTAGTAGTCTGACAGAAAAAAAATGGAAATGTATCATAAAAGATGAGATTTCAATTTCATATCAACAAGTACCTGTACTTATCTTTTGTAATGGCTGACTCATCAAACTAAGCTTGTACTTCAATATTCCCTCACTTGCCGATATCCGTCAGCAAAAGCAAATTTGCTGGTTACTGTACTTTCCCCCTTGTTTTCAAATGAATTGCCGATGCGCCGCAGCCAGTTCACAGAGGCAGTTTATCCGCCGGCGCGTGTGGACTCAGTAGAGTGAATCAGCTCCTGTTTGACTCCCTAAAGGAGCTGAATATTATACGGCCAGGATGGCTAATCAAACAAATTAACGGTTACCGTGGCTGGCACTGAGAGACAGTGCACATTGTGCAGAGAGAAAGATTAGGAGCGAAAGAAGATGGGGAAATTAGGCGCTGAAATGTTCCATTCTCTTGCCCAGTCAAGTAGATGAAGTAAGTTTTTTTTCTTTGAAGAATTAATGTCTTGGTTACATTTAGTACATTGTAATACATGTACAGATATGCAACTGTACATGTAGAAATTTCATGGCTATAGAGTACTGAAATGTGACGTCATTTTTGAACCAGGAAGTGCAATGCAAATGAATGGAATATGCGCACGTGTCGGTTCACGCACTGGTTCTCACACAAATTCACTTTTACGCGCATACACACGTGACATTATCACTTCGAACTCTGTAGTTGCAAAAATAGGCTTGCATGAACTTTTACATGAGTTGCATATAATGAGCATCTGCGCATTTTGAAAACTAGTTAGTAGAGGTACACCTAGAATATAAACATGGAATGAGCCAGTGCAGTATTCCAACTGGGCATGCCCAGAATGACCGGTGTATTGGGCCATTCGGATGTGTGTGCGAAGTCTACCCTAGTGGCGCATCCCTACACGGATTTTGCATGTGTGTTTTGTTCCTGAATGACCCTGCCTTTTTGAAATAGGGAACATGTTCATTGCTGTAAAAAAATTGTTGGAGTACTGAGTTGATCTTATTGACTAGGGTATTTAGTGTTGAAACAAATTGGGTTTTTTTTCCACACGCTTCTCATCACATTTGAAATTCCAGACTCCGGAAGTGTTAAGAAACAGTCAAACAGTGTAGGTTAAGAAATGGTGCCACTTGCAAAGTCAATCAGAATAATTCTCTCGGCGTTGTTCCAAGCCCATCTTCAAAATCCGTTTCGACTTACTGCCTATTGTATGTAGCTTTTAATAATGAAATCATTCATCATGGCTATTAGTGCGAGATCACAATTTGTCTCTGGAATTTAGCGCTATTTCAGTGCAAAATGAGAGCGGCAATTAGGCACAGTGACTCACCATAGTCTCCCCCCCCCCGCAGGTGGAAAGCGGGGAAAGAAGAGAAAACCGAGCGGAGAGGGATAGGCGTGCAGAACGCTCTCTTTTTATCACCATTCTTTATCCAAAATCTGAGACCTGTCAGCCTGTTATCACAATATCAATCAAACCAAAATATGATATTGTGATGTTTCTTAAATGCCTGCCCATTGTGTCCCCATTGTTAGTTGTGCATGTGTGTTTTTTTTTCCCCTGCCTTTTTTGCCTCGGGCCGCTTTCATAGTTTGGGTCTGGTTAAGGAGTTAAGGGAATTTTTGCATCTGGAAATTATGACGTGGGGAAGGGATCATGTGGGATTTCCTGTGGAATTCCGAGTTCAGTGGTAACATTTACCTTTTAACATTTGAACATCTGGAGTACCTGGTATGATTCTAACAGGTCTTGTAACATTATTTCACCACTTTTACAGAGTATGAACAAATAAGTCAATTGAATTTAGGAAAAATCAAGTCTCGATGCATTTTAAAAAAAATTCCTCATAAAGATCAATGTGTAGAGTACATTTACCATTATAGGCCTACATGTACTGGTACGTTGTACGTCTTTTATTGACAGTTATTGACTATATTAACAACTACACAATGCAAGTCATTTCCATGTATGTTTACATGTCTGATTTTACAGAAAACTTGCTTCTTTCAGTTTTCATTGCATCTGAACTTTTCATTCACAGTGTTTGATGTCTGCAGTAATCTGTCAAGTAATTTAGCAAGTAATTCAATGAGGATTCATATATTGGGTCAAGATGCTGACTCATTTCTGCCATTGATTGAGAGAAACACAACCCAGTCCATTACAGAGGACAAGTGCACACCTCGATAGCGAAAGTATCATTTATCACAGAATACAAAAAAAGACCAACAAAATGGACCATGACAAATGACATTAATAATCCTTCCTTCATGTTTGCAAAATATGCCCATTGCCGTTTTGGCGGGAATCATTGGAAATCAGGCCCTTGATCTGGCCGGGATGGTTGTGACTCATGATCTTGGCAGTAAGTGATTGCTGGTCTTGCTAAATGGATTGGATTGCAGGAGAAAATGAACTAATTTGAAGGGAAAGGGTTTTAAGTTTCTGCGTCTTGCATGCTGGAATTCAAGTTGCATGTATTGACCGTAAAAACAAAAGTACAGTTGGGTTTTCAAATTGGGTTTTCAAGGAGCATGTGAGAGTGGGAATGTGCTTGAACATTGTGGTTGCGGTTGTGGTTGTACCCACTGTATGGAGGCTACTGGCTATGGTAGTGGCTGCGGCAACTTCTAATAGGTGCATGTGATACTTGAGGCCCCAGCCACTACATTTTGACATTGCCTGAGTACATTTGACCAGATGTGGATTTTTATGACCAGAGAGGAATAATGTGGAAACCTGAAGGACCGGTATCTTGTTGATAGCCATATAGCATTGGATTTTCTTACCCGAAAAGCTGATTGGGATAGGTTTTTTAATCTGTAAATTCTACAACCTTTCTATTGCACTTTGACCCAACCAAGCACGATGCGTTAATAGGTCGACCGCGGAAATGAAAAAGGAATTCTTAAACCAGTGTACATGCCCTCTATGGAACAAATAAGGAAAATGTGTGTTTACACGTCATCCGGCATCAAGTAGTTAAACAGTGACTAAATCCATTTTGTATTTTGCTTAGTACTGTACATGTACATGTATGTATTTAGACATGTTTGTTAATCATTAAGTTGTGTTATTTTGCTGCGTAAGCATGCATTTATTTTGTTGTTTATCATTTTCATTAACATGTATTGTTCTTGCTTGCATGCCATTCAGTTTGCCTGTTTTGATTATAGTTTTCCTTTTTTGTAATTTTTAATGTCAAAATCGTGTACCTGTTTAAACGTCAGTGCGTTTGCTTTTTGTTCCATGTTTTTGCTGCTCGGTGTTTGTGTGCGTAGAGCCCACCCTTCAGAATGGTGAGACAGAACCAGATAGAGTACCACGCAGCAACAAACCTCCCACCCCACCCCCTAAGCCCAAAAATAGAACACCGCGGAGTTCCATGCATGTCACCACACCTACCTCACCCATCGCCCCAACAGGTAATGTATTTTTTATTGAAAAGAAATAGTATGCTTCTCACAATTGTCTTGGTTCTTTTTGGTTCGGTTGGTTTTTTTATTTGTAAGTTTTTTTTTCGGATTGTGTGTAGTATCAAGGGGGACCAGTAGAAATGCAAAATGCCTTAAAGTCTCGCGTGTACAAGCTGATTCGGAAAGAGTCCTTGACCGACATTTCTTTTCAAAATGACTATTAGGAAAAATTACTGTCTCGCCAGTTTTGTAGACTAATCTTGGCTAAAACTAGGAACCATTACTGAGTTGACTGGAACAAAGGCTTGCATACTGATCACAGACATGCCCAGGATATTCCCTCCACCAACACCGTTGCCAAACCAAACATCTCAGACATAATCTACATGTACATCTGTTCCCAGATTATGTGCAGTCCCTACACAAGCAGACATGGCAGATGCCATCTCGGTGACGGTTTCTAGCATTGGTTGCCGGAATAGTCTGTAAAGTTCTTCAAAACAACTTGAATTACCGTACCAATAGTTTTGGTCTCTGTCTTGCACAGTTTTCTTTGTATTTCCTTATAAAACTTTTGCTGCATAGTAACATACATGTAAATGAGTACTAATGTATACATTAGCTATGAAAGGGAAAGGATTTTTTTTCAGTCAGTCATAATATACAAAATACTGGTTCAATGTCTGTAGTCAATTAAGCATCAACATTAAAGTATAGTGTGTGTTCTATTCTGGTCATCCAACTTTTCTCGTAACTTAAATAAGTGCAAGGTTCTGCAGTGACATGTTCAGCTTTATGATAAGCACAACTGAGCACTATTTTCTTTGTCCAGTAAATACTGGTAGGTCTCTACAGACTTTCTGCACAGGCTCCTTAAATGTATCTCTACTGGTGGGCTTTCTTAACCCTCCATACTGTGTTGGCAGTAAACTGGTGTTTTATGAGCAAGAAATATGCAACCCCAAACAGTGCCCTCAATAAGCACTTCCCACCCCAAGAAGCCTTCTTAAGAGGTTGCTGACTACATCAGTCCGTGCATACTGCAGCCACAACCTGGCAGAATCTGAACAAGATCCATTTGGTGCCTTCATGCAACTCTCTTTCTCTCTCTCTCTCTCACTGTATTGTGTTTAGGAACCTTGCATTTAAAAAAGACATACATTTCTTCCAGTTATTTAGGATCCATTTCTATTTTCAGCAGGCAGCAGAAAGTTTCATATTGTTGATTTCGGCAGGGTTCCTAGGGATGTCTGACAGACACCGTAGATTTGCCTACCGCCCATCGTTCAGTTTGGCTTTAAGTTTAAAAAAATCTGGTCTGTATGCACGGATGAGATTACTGCCAAGGCCATGTTTAATAACTTCATGTCAATATTGTTACACAAAATCCCAATTAGGAGCCCTCCAAACAGGCGTACTACCTGTACATGTTGTATACATGTAGTAATAAAAGCAGTTTCCATTGCAACGCACTGTTTGTGTAATAAGACTTTGCTTTATTTTCCCCCCATTGCATCATTATAGGTTCGGTTCAATATTTCCTGTCAAAACACAATCACGACTGGAGGATTGTTTATTTTAGGAAATTGTCCACCTTGTTGTCAAGCGATACAAAAGGGAAGGCATGCTGCGGGCATTATTAATGTATAGGCAATGTCCGTTATGTGACCTTTGAAGAAACTGGCATGGTCTCTTTATCACCCTAGTGGCTTTGGATTTTAGGAGAATTTCCCCTCAATCATATGAATTAAACGTAATCAGACTTGTTAAGCTGTGAAGAGCTTTTGTTCATGTACTTTACATGTACATGGAAATGTAGGATATACTGTACACTCTTTGCAAGCTCATTTACATGCATATTAACCAAAAATATCCAACAGTGGTACTTTGTATTGGATTATATTGATCTGAGCAGGTGAACAAAAGCCTTTTTGTTTCTTCTGTTGCATTTATCAGTAAGGTTCACACCTTTTTCATGTACGAGTACATGTACATGTACACTTGTACATGTATATCTGTTGGAGGTTGTGAAGGGCTGCTGATATTGTTACATGTACATGTTGGTTAAATTGCCATTGCTGTTGATAGTAAGCATGTGTTTGGATTTTTATTGAGTTAATTTGACAGCTCATTTCGTTTCATGTTTGTTTGCCGTCTAGACAAGAGCCAAACTGTTTAAAGATAGGAATGACTTTACCATTGCCTGTTGATTGTTATTCCATTGCCAAGCACACCTGTTTTAGGCACATATGCGTGCACATGAATTTTCCAGTCATCGTGAGAGGTGGTTGGTTTAGTTGTTTTCGAGAGGGATACGAACCCTGGAGAAGTTCACCTCAAGTTGATCCGTGTGAACCTTAAACTGTTGACACCATTGATTGTTTTTGCTCCATGGAGAGGGGGCAAAGTTGGACCCGACTACAGGCAAAGGTTGCAGTGGTTGAAATCTCTGGCAAGTGAAAGTGCTTGGCCTGGTTTACCATAAGCACAGGCAACAACTTTAGACCTTTTTATGTTGGTACGTACGTGCACATGTGCCATTCTGAACTTAAAATCAAACATGCACTGTACAGTGTATTTGTGATCAACAGAAATATATGAGGGTCACGTTCTTGTACCTCCTTTCTACTCAGCTTCTAACTGCCTCTCATCCCATGCCATCAACAGCAGCCCATTTTAGTGAAGAATATCACTCCATTTTTTTACGGTCCATTCTGTGAAAATACCGTACAAGGAACATGGTGGAAAGTACATGTACAGTTGTAAAAACAGTACGTTGGATCTGAAGTCCTGTTGGACTTGACTTCACAAACTGTCTTGTGCATAACTATACATGCATACCCCTCACTGGTGCATGGCAAGTCAACCAAATTTCCATGTTTTCATCCTTACCTGCTTCCACTTTCTAATCACTGCCAGCCTGCTCATTTCCCACCCCTCCCCTCCCCTTCCTTTTCAGCTCATGGTTAGTGTACATTAACTTGATTATGACAGTTATTACAGGCATGTTGAAAAACTTTGTTGCCAGGTAACCAATCTTTGCCTGGATGGACTGAATAACACAGAAAAATTGAAACAGCAAACAAGTTATTTTTGTACATGTGGATATATTCAGGATAATAATTGTTCACAGAGGTGGACAACTTGTGTGTAGGTAAAGCTTTAGTCTGTGCCATTTTGTCTCCTGGTTTTGGGTTGCTTTTTAAAATTGTTTTGTTTTCAGACTTCCGTTCCAAACTGCATGGCATTTTATGCTCTGAGTACCAAAGGTTTGTGCTTTTTTTGCTCTGCCAAATCTCCCTTTCCTCCTCTCTCCATCCCTTGCTGCAGCCCGTGGAGTAAATGGAAATTCGCCGTCCAATTTCCCAGATATCCAGCCCCCACCTGCCCTTCCTATGCCTGCTCCAGCACCATTGGGGGCAGCAGAAAGACCCCTTGAAAAGTTAGCAGCCAAAGTTATGCAAGAAAGCCGGGCAGACCAACCGCTAAAAGGTACATGTACAAGGGTTCACTAATACAGCATACTCGCTACAGTAGACAGTTTACTAACTCAAGAAAAATAGCTGTGGAGCTTGATGTCTGTTGTCACCTTGTTGTAGTAAGCCTCTGAAGTCAACCGTGGCCATGAGTCAACATAGGGAGTCAGGTTAACCTAGTAGCTCTCCTCGCCTTCTACCTCTGCTGTCCGGGTTTGAATCCCACCTAGGTCAGCATGTGGATTGGCTTTTCAATCCCTGTCTGATTCCATCGGTAGGCCGTCACAGGTTAAAGGGATAATTTCTTCTGTTAGGCAAATTAGGACCAAGTTGTGGGGAGATTTTTCTGTCCCTATAACGTTTTGGTCCCCTCAAAATGGGTGAAATGTCTTGTTTTTGTCCGCACAACTACCGAACAAGTACATGTATGTATGTGTGGGTTTTCCCTTATGCAGGAGTTTCCTTGCACCTTTAAACTTAGCATTTCTTCATTGGCTTTTTTGTCACTTCATTAACAATTGGCATTGAATGCGCTGTTTGATGAAGAGAAATAAATCAAAAAGATTTAAGCAATTTTTTTGCACATATTGCTCAGCAGTTCTCTATGGCTTCCAGGATGTTAAGTAAGGTAGCCTAGATGGGACATTAGAGGTCCATATTTTTCTTGCACCTCACAAGAACAGAACTCTATTGCAGCCATCTTTTAATTTTCTATGGTCATTCCACATCCTTGGGCAGCCAACAGAGACCTGCTCACAAGCTAGAGTGCAGTGGCCTGCACTTGAGGCAGACCTGTGTATCATGTGATAGCTAATCATACATGCCTGTGTAACACCAAGTTCTGGCAAATCAAATGTGTCCCATATTGATGGATTGTTTTCCTGTGGTTTTGTGGTACGTGTTGCTGCTTTTGAAGCCATTTTGCTTTTGCAGTGGATGTATTACCAATAGTGTAGTCCTCCTTCTGGCAGCTCTTCTCTTTCATGCTTCAAAAATGATCAAAACTGCCAGCAATCAGTGAGACAAACATGTATGAAGAGTGCCGAAATCCCTGACAAAGCTACATGCACATATTTACTGTCATGTTGACATGAAAAGTACATTGGCTCACTAGCCACGATTGTACATGTACTGCTGGTAGGTGTTTTATGAGGTGCTTGTTGTCGGAACAATTGCACAGTGTCAGTGAAACCTGTCAAATTCAGTGCTCTTTGTGTTGCTCCTGTTTGGTTCCTATAGTATGGTGCACAATGCTACTTGATATAAACCCTGCACAGAACAATTCAACTGAATATGCATCTTAAGAAACGTGTTCAGTCAAATTGTTTTGTGTGCGATAATCCATTCAAATTTATCCCGACTGAAGCACATGCACATTAGGAATAACTTGATCAGAAGATACTGACTATCATCAGTAACCTGTGGATGATTTCCTGCTTCAACTCTTACTCACTTTCCGTGGCTCATTTTGATCACTAAGCAAGCGCCCTAACCATACATGTGCTACCGTTTGACAGAAATCTGCCGCCTGCC